ATTTGAAGAAATCTAACATCGCGATTGCTTGGGATTGATATTAACTACTTCTTCCGCAGTCGTTGACTCTTACACAATTGGCGGAGCTCCACGATAAGATTTGCGTATTGACATCGGGCATGGTGCAAAAAGACACCCAAGCGGTGACGTGCGATCGAGCCGCAGCGGCTGACGGCTCGTTAAACGCAGATTGGAATATTTTAAACAAGCGGATAGCCGCTTTGCAGAAGCAGATAGCGCAGAAGCAAATAGAAGCCGACTGGAAGCTGCAAGAGCTGAGACGGGCTCTTCGAACTGAGCAGGCTAACTTGATTCGAATCTCCGACGAAATGAATTTAGAGAGAAAACGCAATTTGAACCTTCAGTTCAGCATGGATGAGTCGCTCTAATACAGTTTTCCTTTAACCTCGTTCGACGTCCCGTTACCTCTTCAGGACATTTCACGGATGAGAGGAATGTAATTCCACCCCCGCCCTCCCTCCTCTTAACCGAGGAATCTATAAAGAGCTCGAGGATCAACAGGCTGAACGGCGAAACTGCGCGAATTAAGAACGCTGATCTTCAAATTGAGTTAACTATGATTTCACTTACCTGTTCTTTGTCCAATGTTGTAGCGAACACCGATGTAAGTACCGTGAAAATAAAAAGTGTTGCACATCGTCTCAAGTATTACCGATCGTACATCTTTAATCCAATGATATATAACGTGCAAAGAAATTATTAGTTCAAAATCTTTTCCCTTCTTTTTAAGAAAGTTACAATTATAAAACAAGATTTCAGTTCGTGTCAGTTTTTACATATCTCGAACGTAAAGTAATTAAGCCTGTAACTTTCTACACGCTCGTATTCGGTACGATCGGGCTGTTTCGCGACCGTGTAAATTACTTTTGCTGCAGTAATTTGATCGCATCGCACCGGTTACACCCTAATTAACGAAGCCATGGCAGGAATGGCGGATATACAGGCGGACGGGAAGAAAAAACGCGGCCGCGTCCAATAACGGGCAACGTTCTGGAAAATAGTAACGGCTAATAACGGCCGATAGATTCCGGCGCGGCCAGCCGCGTTTGCTCGATTTTGCGTGGGACAACGCGATTTCCTGTTTCGTTTCGAGGCACGATGTTGTTCGATCGAGATTAATTCAATTGTATCGTGGTCCGCATCCGCTCCCACGACTTTATCAGGCACCGCTCGGTCGCTGCTGGCTCTCGCGTGCGCACACAACGGCACGCCGCCGCGTTCCCGGATACCGCCGGGCTAAAGAGTACACATATAATTGAAATGCGCGGCTAGATCAAGTGGTAAATGAATTGACGAAATCCATTTAGCCGTATGTCCATCCAGTCGGAATTGGAATAAGCTCGTAAAGCGTTTTCAACGTTGCGCGCCGTTATTGAAGTTACGTTTACGGCTAACGTTTCCCTCGAAATTCCGCGCTTCATCGGTTTTCCGCCGACCACGATTCTTCCCGATCGATTATCAGATATATCTCACATACATTATAATATATCAGTAAATACTTTTTCGACGATTTCTCATAACGTACAATTTTAATATTATCATAAATTATCTATGATACATACGCGTAAATAGAAAGTGACAAAAAATCAGGTATTGGACAATTCGAATTCGATTCCGACTTGTCAATTGAAACCCGTTTAACATAGTCTGGTAAAAGATCGGTCTTTATCGATCTCTGTGCTAGCCGGGCCAATTATTTGGTTGCATCCCTGGATTTGAAGAAAGCCGTAGGTCATAGAACGTCAATACTCTATCCCTCGGTCAACGGCAGCTACGTACTCCTTCGGACTGCGACGATAACTTCTCGGACGTTGGAAGGAATCGAGAAATAACGGATACAAGTCACGTTATGCTCGCTTTGTCGATGAGTTGGGAGCATGCCAATGTTAACGGTCGATGAGCTGCATTTGGTATTCCCTACGATATGGTTACGTGAAGGGGAGAAGGGACATTGATAGAAGCTGGCTCCGGATCGGGGGGATCATTTTTATCTAGATATACGAACGTGTACATATGCGTTTGGGAAATTTCGATTTCTGACACACTATCGGAGAATTGGAGATTATGGGACTAGAAAAAAACAGGATAACAAAATCGTTCTCTAAATTTTTATTTTATTGTATGTACGTTGACATTGTTGGAGGCTGTTAAAATTACTGTTGCCTTCAAATATAAATATTTCCTTGTTTACGCGCAATTACTGAACAATGTTATTGAATATAATTAAGAGGAATATCTTTAACAATTATGAGGTTTCGTGCTAGGAAAATTACTCGGTAACACATATCGTTGTCATGGACATTTCGTGACAGTGTCTTCCGATAAAATCACTGATCCTCCATGTGTTATGTCAACGAATGCAATTATTTGTCTGGAAGGACATTAGAAGTAGAATAAAGAAACATCAAATACTGTTCATTAGGTAGTCGTACGAGAAGATTTGACGTATTTATCGTCAGGATGCTTCTCTGGTTGTTCGTAATTTCTGCGCTGCGATGGGGCACAGTGCAAGTGAGTATAGAACAGTGAAAGAAGTGTGTGTATTCAGTAATTAAAATAATAATCAGAGCACTCAATTTTGATTTTATTTTTATAATTTTATTTTATTAATTGTTAACATAAGGCAACACTCGAGATAATGATCGAAGATGTTGAATGTACGGAAGTCAACTCAGAGTATATAAAAACGTGTGAATTTGAGGTAGAAGATGATAGTACTTATGGGGCTAGTTTGACCTCAAATATAGAGACCATCAAACATTTCCCTGAGACTGTTAGGGTACGTGTTTAACGAAAATATCATCATGACCTATTTATTATATTCATGGAAGTATTTTCTATCGCAGGTAATAGCTGATATATTTACCGTTCAATACGGCGAATATTCGGTCGACATGGGACTCCACATAGACACGCTGTTTTGTGAGGTCATGGAAAATTCAAATTCCATAGCAAACTTTTTATTAACAGTGGTCAACATGAATGACGGTGAATGTCCTCCGGGTCCGGTATGTAAATATATTAATTAATACATATGAAGTATATATTAGTACATGGAAGAACACAATGTATTAATTTCATCAATAATTCTAATACTACGCATATCAATTACGAGCAGATTTTTATTCTTCGTGGCTTTTCTTTGAATCAATTTGAAATAATAATTACACTACGATTAACGTTCATTATTTCAGGGCGTTTACAAACAGGAAAATTACGTAGTTGACAACACGAAAGGCTTACCGTCGTCTTTTCCCTCCGGTTATTATTTAATGAACATGACGTTTCTGAACGATGATACTGTATTCGTGCACTTCAATGCTTATGTAAGAGTAATGTAACGCTATCATTAGTTTATGTATCAATGTAATTCAAGACTTAGTTTGATGTTTGTTATTAAGGATGTATTGGCTATACAGTCAATCCCAAAAGTTTATGTACCT